AGAATGTGGAGATCAGAGGTCAACTTTGCATGTCATCCAACTTGTTTTCTGTGACCTTGAGCTCATTGATGAAGTTAGGCTGGGTGGTCAGCTAGCATTAGTGATCCTTCTGCTCTGCCTCCCCAGCACCAGGATTTCAAGTCTATACTACCACATTCCACTTGTTTCGGGTCCTTCTGCTTATGTGAGAAGCACTTTGATGATTGAGCGATCTTCCCCAACCTTGATGTTGCTTTCTTGTTTGTTTTTGAACCAGGGTCTTGCTGTGTAGCCTTGGCTGGCCTGGTGAACTTACAGAGGTCTGCCTACCTCTGCCTTCCAAGTGTTAGGATTAAAGGTGTGCATTACCAAGTTACCCAGTGTTACAATTTAAGATTGACACAAAACTGTGAGAAAGTTCTTTCTAGAGGTTTCTGTAGGAACCATCTACAGAATTCTCTATATTCCTTAAGCCCACTCATGAATAGTACTCCCAGAATCAACACCCCTCCTTCTTAAAAATATATGTATTACACTTAAGGACCCCATCCTTATATAATAATCATGTTGACACCATCATTGCCAATAGTTTATAGGTTATACTAGGATCTCTCTTGGTGCTGTATATTTGGACAAATATAGAATGTATCCATCATATGGTGTAGACACATTTACTGTCCTGCAAATTCTCAATACTTTGTGTTCCTCTCTACTTGTAAGCCCTGCTTCTAAAAGCATTAAACATCTTTCTTTCTAGTTTTGCCTTTTGCAGAGTATCCTGCATTGGGAATCATACAGAAGGCAGTCCTTTCAGATCAGTTTTTCCCCTTTTGTAATGTATATTTAAGACTTCTCTGTCTTTTCATGGCTGGTAGCCCATTTCTTTTTGTTTTGAATGACTGTCTTAGGGTTTCTATTGCTGTGAAGAGACACCATGACCACAATAACTCTTATAAAGGAAAACATTTAATTGGGGCTAGCTTACAGTTTCAGAGGTTTAGTCCATTATCATTATGATAGAACATGGTGGCATGCAGGCAGAAATGGTGCTGGAGAAGAAGCTGAGAGTTCTACATCTTGACTGCGGGTAGCAGGTGGAGTCTGTGTTCCACTGGCCAGACTTGAGCTTATAAGACCTCAAAGCCCACCTCCATAGTGACATACTTCCTCAAGTAAGGCCATACCCACTCCACAAAGCCACACCTCCTAATAGGGCCAATTTTTATGGGCAAAGCATTCAAACACATGAGTCTATGAGGGCCATACCTATTCAAACCACCATGATACCCCACTGTGTGCAGATTATCTCACCCACGGAAGCCATCTCAATGCTTCTCTGTGTATTGATGACTATGACTAAAGTTGCTGTAATAGATGTTTTTGTGTGTATATGTTTTGAATTCCCATCTAAATACACACCAACCCATTGATTAAATGGTAAGAGTATGCTGCATTTTGTAAGAAACTACCCAATTGTCTTCC